ATCGAATGAATGGGGAGTCTGTTAAATTACTCTCGTTCCTATGGATGTTAAAATGGAATAACTGTTTATTTGTATTATATATGTTCGTTTATTAACGACTTCAACACTTAATAAAGGTGCTGACAACTATTGCATTTGCTTTTTAATTTCTTAGACACTGAACATTCTGAACACGTATTCTTTCCTAAGCGTTAGTAACACTTTGAAATCCAAATAACGCATACATTTTGATTATCGTCGTCTACACGCGAAAACTGACAAGAAGCTCCACATCATGCTCATTCACAACGAGTTGACACAGATATAGAGCTACAGATGGCACGTTACATCAGCACAGTCTCTTTCACTGGAGGTCATGTTTCAACGGCTAGATATACAAGAACAGATTTTCGTGTTGGCAGCTGTCGCTGAAAATTCCTAATTATGTGCGACACCATTCACAGTGTCACACCCATTCTTAGCTCTTATGAAAGGTACAATGTATGTTATTAAATGTCTAGCTTACTAATACTTAAGTCTAAGATGAAAACTTATGGTTTCATCTATTTCGCTACTAATGATACTATCGAAAAACCAAATAAGGAAACCCGATTAACGAGCGCGTTCCAAACAGACACCTTTAAAGTACATTGAAATTTGAGCAGCAAACGTTTTTGTGAACGTAGGTTTAAACACGATCTGGGCTGGAAAAAGCACTGTTTCTGGTTAATATTTGCTTATTAAGAGGTTATTGCTTAAAATTATGTAATCGTCATATTTTCAATAATTACTATTCGACATTTACGAATCTGTTAGAGAACACCCTAAACTAAGTTCTTTAAGACATGAAGCTAATATCAGGTGAAACGTAAATAGTACACGTGAAGTCTGCGTTCTTTGTGAAAATACTGAGGGCATTGTTTCAAATTTTGTGTATACAAAGAGTCGCATCTTACAGAATGAGCACCAGGCAAAAGCACAACTACGGAGCAAATATCATACTTTTTATACACGAAATAGCCATTACATCCAAGCATGCAAGGCTAATTATCATTCTTGAACGACAACCAGGAATTGTGAAACTTTTATACTCTGGAATTCCTGTTACATCCAAGCAAGCAAGGTTAATTATCATTTTTGGACGACAACCAGGAATTGTGAAACTCTCTTTGTCCGGTCCTAAAGTTACACTCAAAAGTGTTGTATTCATTTCCTGCATGTTTTTCAGTTTGGAAATTGATCAGCAGAAGGGGGGCAACCTCATTAACGTCTGATTGTCTGAATGTTATGGACAATTAATATCAGTTCTTTACACTTTTTCAATAAGTTATAACGATCAATAAAAATTTGAGATACATACCAGCACGGCATTGAGTTTTCCAGACCAATTCACAGATGTAGACTGTAACCACTAGTTTTAAACGTAAAATATCTACACCCAGCTATCATGTTGAAATGTCAAATGACTATCACAAATATTCTAAAGTAGTTGGCTATTGAATAGTATTATATTTTCTTAAAGACGTGCAAATGTTTTAGTAAACTTCGCAATTTGCATTGTTTATTCATTATTCTGGAAACCTGTAAAGTAAATATTTCTGTGCGTTATTATGATCCACCAATCTATATAATGATATTTAATGGAAAACACAGCACAATCAGGAGTCATATCTGCTTCTTAACTCAAAGAATCGACATAACATTTCGCATGAAAATACGCTTCTACTAATACTACAATAGTGTCAGTTTGGTGTTACATCAATCAGGCTTTAAGTCATCCAAAAACAAGGTAAACTGTTAATGAGCAATAAATGAATATCTTTATTCAGTGGAATTCTGAATACAGTAATTGTAAGTTCTATGCGTGATCTTGAAGAAATAGATTGTGCTCTAACAAAAGCCCAGCCCTCTATAAGAAAAATTGCTTCTATTATACGGGCCCTCAAGTAGTGTCATATGCGCATTTATCAAATACTGTAGACTCTTTCTAGCACAACCAAGACCTGCCATCATGAAAGAAAAGCAGCCCAATCGATGCTCTGTAACTCTTCCTGTGAAAGAACCGTTTTTGTTCTATCGAAGTTTTGTAAAGAAAAACGCTGTGAGCAAAAGGTATGATAGTTTAAAGAATAAGGTTCTGTCTGACTTGAATGCCAACTATAGTCTAGAAAATGAGAAAACAGGATAAAGAACATTCTTGAGAACTCGTTTGGGACCGTACATAGGCCTCAGGGCTAAGAAACGTGAAATTTATTACACACAAACTTTTTCAATAAACTTTACTAGTTTTAAGTAAAAATAACGTAGGTTTCGTTGAGTTTTTTTTTTAATACACTTTATATACCAGAGAATAATTTAATACGCCACCAATATACGTGAATAACGTAAATACAAATTTAATTTATTAGTTTTGTTTTCAAATAGATCATGGATAGGCTTATACTACTGATCTATAAAGCACAACATTCTAGCTTTATGTTTCAAAACGGATGCAACATTGCACATTTACCTCATACATCATAACATTAACCTTTAATAAAAGACTACTTCGACTTCAGTTGTTACTTTTCACTAGACTCGTATACTAAGAAAAGTTGCCTGTTTCGTAAAACTTGTACAAATAGCTTTGTTTTTAGATGTTCAATATTTTTTAT